ACTCTAGCTATTAAACTTTGATCAGAAGGGAATCGGATGGCAGAAACGGAAGCGTTCGAGCGAAACCATTCAAGCGATGAACAGATGAAACTATTTCAAGCTATTTCAAAGAGCAAATCGGTCCGCAAAAAATCACGTTTTCTTCGGCAAGTTGTTAAAAGAATGACACTTCGATACAATGCATGTTGTTTCTTAAACCAAATCGTTTTGCAAAAAAGTCAGGTTTTTGGGGCCAGCTAGTCAAGCTATGAAATGTGAAAAAATTTCATGATACTTCATGAAGAGAAGTGGATGAAAAAATGTTCAAACTTTTCTTTGCAAGCTTTTTATACTAACAAACCTGAAACAAAGCAAATCAGATGCTGAAAATTAAAGTTTTCCGATTCTCAAGACATTGATGCGATGAAACCTTGAGACCTGTTTGATTATTTTAATATTGATTATTTTAAAATTGTTTTAAAATTTCAGGTTTCTCAAGTCGATAGCGCCTTTCCTACGCAAAAAAAGTGAAAGAGAAGCAAATTCCATTGTCTAAAAAATACACACAATAAGTATATTGAATCTTTGTTCCAATGCCAAAAAACTTTTAAAAAAACTTTTCCTAAGTGTACAGCTCTTCCACGAGACAAATTAAGGACCAGCCGCTTGGGCAGGGGAGTTTCCTACAACCTGGTCTATCGCTTAAACCCTTAATCCCAAATCTGGATGGGTAGTTTTTGAAGAAATCGAAAAAGTTTGAAAAAATGGCCTAAAAACCGAAAAATTGACTATTCCTAAGTGTATAGCTCTTCCCCTAGACAAATTAGGGACGAGCCGATTGTGTAGGTGGGGGTTCCTACAACCTGGTCTATCGATTAAACCCTTAATCCCAAATCTGGACGGGTAGTTTTTGAGGAAATCGGAAAGATTTGAAAAAAGGCCAAAAAAGTCAAAAAAGTGACTTTTCCTAAGTCTATAGCTCTTTCTCTTGGCAAGTTAAGGACCAGCCGCTTGTGCGGGGGAGTTTCCTACAACCTGGTCTATCGATTAAACCCTTAATTCCAAATCTGGATGGGTAGTTTTTGAGGAAATCGATAATTTCCGAAAAAAATAGGCAAAAAAATCAAAAAAGTGACTTTTCCTAAGTCTATAGCTCTTCCCCTAAGCAAATTAGGGACCAGCCGCTTGTGCATGGGAGTTTCCTACAACCTGGTCTATCGATTAAACCCTTAATCTCAAATCTGGACGAGTAGTTTTTGAGGAAATCGAAAACTTCCGAAAAAATGGGCAAAAAGTGAAAAAAGTACCGAGTTGTGAAGCTTTTCTAAGACCGTAGGGGGTGGGGTAGGGTAAAAATTGCCCTAAATTTCATGCAGGCAGGTAGGTGAAACGCTACTGAATCCATTGGTACCACTTTTATGAGAATCTGATTGGTAGTTTTTTGGGAAAGCGAAATTTTCGAAAAAGCGTCTCAAAAAAAAAAAAAAAAACCAGATCTCATCTGGAAAAAAAAACGTTTTCATAATACCAGTTTAATAAATCAAACAGGAATTACTTGATGTTAATTTAAGGAGCGAACAAAATTGTTTAAAAAAATTTCTGCAGCAAGGTGTTCAAACTATAAAAATGAGAAAAAATTCAAGTTGTTTCTTAATCCACATCGGTTCGCAAAAAACAATTTTCTAGGTAAGCTATGAAACTTCGGTATATTTCAAATTACTTCAGAAAAAGGCACCGCATGACGAAAAAAATTGAAAATTTTTTTCTATTGAAGCCATTCAATTCAAGAAACAATTCATGGACCGAATCGGTACGCGAAAAACTCATGTTTTTTTTTAAGCAAGCAAATCAAATTTAAAAATTAGCAAAAAAAAGATATTTACAGACCGAACGGGTTCACAATTTTCTAAGCAAGCTATTCAAGATATTTCCAGTTATTTTATAGCGCTCACTTCGCAAAATTGAATTTTTTCAAAGAAAATTAAGATACTTTAAAATTTTTCACGTTATCGGAGAAAAGGATTCGAAGGGTAAAAAAATTTTTGTAACGAAACCATTCAAGCAATGAAAATTCGATACAATTCAAATTGTTTAATAGACCAAAGTGTTTCGCGAAAACTTATATCGAAATATATCGCAAATATTCAAGCTATGATAATTCTAATTATTTTAAGTTATTTCATGGACCGAATCGTCTGAGTTTTTGTAAGCAAGCTATCCAAGATATGAAACTTAGAAAAATTTCAAGTTAATTCACAGACTGAATCGGTTCATAAAAAGTTTGTAAATTGAGTTTTCTGAAAATCTTTGAAAACAAAATCAAAAATCGTCGTATCTCGTACACTAAAAAAATTTGAGCATTCTTAATTGGACGCCAAAATCGCAGCCACTTTGTGAACTCTGACAGCATCCCATCATTGGGCTGCTTTTTTTTAAACTGGGTGGAATAACCACTGAAATCAAATTGGAAAATCGAAAAAAAAAATCTTAACCATTGCAATATACGATATAGCTTAAACGTGAAAAAATTCTTTCGTTAATTATGTAAAAAAATTTCGTTGAAGAAGCTTAAACATGGCGAGATAGTGAAGCCCGTATTTAAAAGTATAATAGAATAATAAAAAAGTAATATAAAGGTTGTTATAAATAAGTGATATAGAAAAAGTGATATAGAAAAAGTGATATAAGAAAAGTGATATAAGAAAAGTGATATAAAAAAGTGATGCAAAAAAGTGATAGAAAAAAGTGATAAGAAAAATAAAATCAGAAAAGTGATATAAAAAAGTGATATAAAAAGTGATATCAGAAAAGTGATATAAAAAAGTTATTTAAAAAGAAGTATCGAAAAAACAGATAGAAAAAGATCAAAACGAAGGATCAACAAATAGAAAAAGAAGATAGAAAAAGGATCGAAAAAAATTAAAAAAAGAAAAAAAATCGAGAAGAAGGATAGAAAAAAATGATAAAAAAAGAAAGATAGACGAAAGATAGAAAGAAGATCGAAAAAGAAGGATAAAAAAGACAGAAAAAAAAGATACAAAATCCAGAAAAGGATAAAGAGAAAGAAAGATTGGAGACCACTGTTTGACAGTTGTACTATTTTGCACTGAATCGTCGGCACTGAATTCTTTTGTTAAACATGCAAAAATATTACGTTGAAACAGCCTAAATATGAAAAAAACGATTAAAAAACCAAAAACTAGACTTTTCTGACAGCGATAACTTGCGTAAAAAATGAGTGTAGCCGTTAATGCTAGGGAGCTTTTCAACCCCGTTCTATTCATTGCAACAAAAATCTCAGATTTGAGAGGGTAGTTCTGAAAAAAAAACTAACAAATTTTTTTAAAAAAATTATGGGTCAAATACTGCCCCAACAAAGTTTTAATGCCCGCACAGGAATAAAAAGAGACTAGGAATAATGCAAGCACATAGGGATGTAGGCAGTCTTCCCATTGATACCCCTTTTCTGAAAATCGGTGGCTTAAAGGGTCTTAGAAAAAAAACTATTTATTGTCATAATTTTTGTTCTTATTTTACAGCAATTCTAGGCAAACAGCCACGCAAGACCATTGAATTTTAAAATTAGCAATGGATAAAAAACTTATAAAGCGGAAACAAAGCCGACAAACTTTGAGCAGACACCAGTTTAGTCGAAAAAAATATATATTTAAGAATTTTTTAAAAGTTTCTAGGCACCCTGAAACTACAACTAAAAAGATTTCAACTAATATGATGATTGCTCACAGCGCAGAAATAATCCATAATGTGGCATCTACACCGACAAAAATCGAGCAGATAGACGAAAGTCCGACAAATCAATTTTTACCGGAAAACATTTTTCAATTGCATACGTGCTGAAAACAAACAAGGTCCGGCCGGGATTCGAAACCCCGAACTTAGGCGCTGCAAATACAACAGCGTTACCTCTAGCTCAAGTGCGAAGGAACCTATAAGTTGCTAAGATTCAATAAGAAAACAAAAAACTAGGTATAAATGCTAACAAAATTCAAGACGACGCTTCTAAACCCCAAGAAGCGTAGTATTGAAAACCAACAAAATTATTAAAAATCCTTCAAAATTGCGCAAAAAGATTTGATTACACCGAAAATTCTGATATAGAAATTTGTTTAAATCGATTAGGAAACAAAATAGGCAAAGTATCAGTTGTATGATTTAACGACAATAAATATACGGGGTATTAAAAAGTTTTATGATACCCAAACTTGAGTCTATTCATGCTCAAACTTTAATTGGCTCTTATTTTCATAAGAACGTTTAGATTTTTTGATGTTTATTGAGCTACCACTCCCAGAACAGAAACATTAATTCCCTTTCGGTTCTGCTTCGGATTCCAAAAAAAAAACAAATAGCGGCGAAAAAGACAGGTCCGAATAATTTGATTTTCTTCATATAAACTTAGCTTTGTACTTTTCTATTGTAAGAAATAATTAACAAATCTGATCTAAAGGACTATAATACTACGCGGGTCCATCCTCAGTTTTTTTAAGTATTGATAGCTGTGATCGGGAACTTCTGTACTTAAGAGCAACTAGCTACTATTTCACGATCTTGTGAATTTTAATCGACTACTTCTATGGGGGGAAGGGGTGATATAATTTTCCAGAATTGACATGCTGTAACAAACCGGTTCCATTTTGATTCAAATCTACTTCATTTCTCCAACTTCGCCGATGTTCCCTTTTAGTTTTGAAAAACAACAGCGGTAGAAAAATATTTATTCTTTAGATTCTCGATGGCTGAAAGTGACAAAAGCAGAATTCAAATTGCATCAAAGAAAGAGACAATTTGAGCAAAACAAAAAAAGCAAAGTTAGACATCTTTCAACAACAATAGCTTGATTAACATGTGTTATAAATCAAAATCAATTAAATCAAACGTTGAATTGCTTTGACTCTTAGAAGCAACCATTTTAGTAAAATTGGATCTCCAAGTATTTTATTTCTTCACCTAAAAAATCACCCATATAAAGAACTTGAATATCCGCCCATGTAAAACTGAGCATAAGCGAACATTTCACCTAGTAACTAATTAGCTCATTTTCTCCTTTTTCAACGGGAGGGGTTAGAGATCTATAATGCTATATGAGGGTTCAACACTAAGAATCGATTTGATCAATACAATTTTCTCGCTCAGTGCTAACTATGATTCGGCATTGCCAAGATAAAAGTTCAGCTCTAACAAATCTGGGATCCAGGATGCTACTGACATTTTACATCTTTAAGTAATGCAATAAAAATAGATATACAGAAGCTAGCTAACTATCAAATCAACTCACATCAAATTGTGACAAAAGGGCAAATCTCGATTGCTTCACTTGAGTAGGAGGGCAGTACTTTCATGACATGACTGTAAGCGGTTAAATTTCATCAAAGGCAATATGTATGTATATAATACACTTTCGTTATCAGTTACTGCAGTTGCAAAGCTCAACAAATATTTATCAGTTTGGACGTCAAAACAGTAATCCTATGACTAAAGGGCTAGGGCAGTAATGTAGGTCATAATTAAGCAGACATGATCATCGCAAGAAATCGCTTGCTTGCAATTGAAAACTTTTCAAAATCGAGAAATCTGATTTGAAAATATCATTGGAAACAGACTTGAAAAATGATTAGTTGGCCTGTACTTTAACTTGAAATCTGATACATGTGAAAACACTAGTGTCCGCTCATTTCCACTTCATAAAAAAGCCCTCATCAATTCTATCAAACTTTTTATTTGAAACCTACAAGGGTATTCCCTGTTTTTCTTCGTCGATTGTCAGTTGTTTGAAGTACTCCTTGCCAGCATCGTTTACGATACAGATATGGTGGAGATCCCTGAAGAACTCGTTATAGTCAGTGGCATATCCCACAATAAAGTGGTCTGGGATCTTGAAGCCGAGGAAGTCTGGCCAGTACGTAAGTTTTCCACTCTTTCTCAACTCTGTGTTTTTCAGAAGCAGACACGCCACTAAAAGTCTCGCGGGCTTGTAGTCTTTCAAAGTGTTCAGAAGAGCGTCCATTGTTCTACCTAAAAACGGATCGACAATTACAATAATGAGCGGAATTATCGTCAAAATTTTCTCTGAACCAGTAAGCCCGTCTTTAATAATCAATCGACTCGCAAAAAGTTAGTTGTTGTCTGATCCACCTAGTCAAGCTATGAAACATCTGAAAATTATAAGTAAAACCATGTTGCAAATCTGTTTGAGCAATTTTAAATTTCTCAGACCGAATAGGTTCGCGAAAAGATTAAATTTTTCTAGGCAAGCTGGTCCTTCGAAAAATTGAAGTTATTTCAAAAAGCTAATCAGATGGCGAAAAAATGAACTATTTTGTTTTGAAGCCATTCAAGCGGTGAAAGTTTGAATAAACAAAAACCAATTCATAGATCTAATCGCCTCTCAAAAATTGAAAGTTTTTCAAAGCAAGCTATTCAAGCTATGAAATTTTGAAATATTTCAGGTTGTTTATAGAGCAAATCAGTTCGCGCAAAGTTAATTCTTCTTAGCAAGCTATTCAAGTGATGAAAATATGAAAAACTATAGGTTATTTCGAGAGTAAATAAACCAGTTGAAGCACAAACAAATCAGCAATGCGCGGATTAGTTACGCCAGCCGAAAAGTTACGTCATATCAATGAAATTTGCAAAACTTTCGTAAGTGTTATATAATTGTTACAAAACTATTCCAAAACAATCAGGTAATTTTGGCTGTTCACACTTCGGCTGGTTTATATACTACCGTTATTTCAGACCAAATTGGTTCGCGAAAAGTTATAATTATTCTCAGTAAGCTACTCTAGCTATTAAACTTTGATCAGAAGGGAATCGGATGGCAGAAACGGAAGCGTTCGAGCGAAACCATTCAAGCGATGAACAGATGAAACTATTTCAAGCTATTTCAAAGAGCAAATCGGTCCGCAAAAAATCACGTTTTCTTCGGCAAGTTGTTAAAAGAATGACACTTCGATACAATGCATGTTGTTTCTTAAACCAAATCGTTTTGCAAAAAAGTCAGGTTTTTGGGGCCAGCTAGTCAAGCTATGAAATGTGAAAAAATTTCATGATACTTCATGAAGAGAAGTGGATGAAAAAATGTTCAAACTTTTCTTTGCAAGCTTTTTATACTAACAAACCTGAAACAAAGCAAATCAGATGCTGAAAATTAAAGTTTTCCGATTCTCAAGACATTGATGCGATGAAACCTTGAGACCTGTTTGATTATTTTAATATTGATTATTTTAAAATTGTTTTAAAATTTCAGGTTTCTCAAGTCGATAGCGCCCTTCCTACGCAAAAAAAGTGAAAGAGAAGCAAATTCCATTGTCTAAAAAATACACACAATAAGTATATTGAATCTTTGTTCCAATGCCAAAAAACTTTTAAAAAAACTTTTCCTAAGTGTACAGCTCTTCCACGAGACAAATTAAGGACCAGCCGCTTGGGCAGGGGAGTTTCCTACAACCTGGTCTATCGCTTAAACCCTTAATCCCAAATCTGGATGGGTAGTTTTTGAAGAAATCGAAAAAGTTTGAAAAAATGGCCTAAAAACCGAAAAATTGACTATTCCTAAGTGTATAGCTCTTCCCCTAGACAAATTAGGGACGAGCCGATTGTGTAGGTGGGGGTTCCTACAACCTGGTCTATCGATTAAACCCTTAATCCCAAATCTGGACGGGTAGTTTTTGAGGAAATCGGAAAGATTTGAAAAAAGGCCAAAAAAGTCAAAAAAGTGACTTTTCCTAAGTCTATAGCTCTTTCTCTAGGCAAGTTAAGGACCAGCCGCTTGTGCGGGGGAGTTTCCTACAACCTGGTCTATCGATTAAACCCTTAATTCCAAATCTGGATGGGTAGTTTTTGAGGAAATCGATAATTTCCGAAAAAAATAGGCAAAAAAATCAAAAAAGTGACTTTTCCTAAGTCTATAGCTCTTCCCCTAAGCAAATTAGGGACCAGCCGCTTGTGCATGGGAGTTTCCTACAACCTGGTCTATCGATTAAACCCTTAATCTCAAATCTGGACGGGTAGTTTTTGAGGAAATCGAAAACTTCCGAAAAAATGGGCAAAAAGTGAAAAAAGTACCGAGTTGTGAAGCTTTTCTAAGACCGTAGGGGGTGGGTAGGGTAAAAATTGCCCTAAATTTCATGCAGGCAGGTAGGTGAAACGCTACTGAATCCATTGGTACCACTTTTATGAGAATCTGACTGGTAGTTTTTTGGGAAAGCGAAATTTTCGAAAAAGCGTCTCAAAAAAAAAAAAACAAAAACCAGATCTCATCTGGAAAAAAAAACGTTTTCATAATACCAGTTTAATAAATCAAACAGGAATTACTTGATGTTAATTTAAGGAGCGAACAAAATTGTTTAAAAAAATTTCTGCAGCAAGGTGTTCAAACTATAAAAATGAGAAAAAATTCAAGTTGTTTCTTAATCCACATCGGTTCGCAAAAAACAATTTTCTAGGTAAGCTATGAAACTTCGGTATATTTCAAATTACTTCAGAAAAAGGCACCGCATGACGAAAAAAATTGAAAATTTTTTTCTATTGAAGCCATTCAATTCAAGAAACAATTCATGGACCGAATCGGTACGCGAAAAACTCATGTTTTTTTTAAGCAAGCAAATCAAATTTAAAAATTAGCAAAAAAAAGATATTTACAGACCGAACGGGTTCACAATTTTCTAAGCAAGCTATTCAAGATATTTCCAGTTATTTTATAGCGCTCACTTCGCAAAATTGAATTTTTTCAAAGAAAATTAAGATACTTTAAAATTTTTCACGTTATCGGAGAAAAGGATTCGAAGGGTAAAAAAATTTTTGTAACGAAACCATTCAAGCAATGAAAATTCGATACAATTCAAATTGTTTAATAGACCAAAGTGTTTCGCGAAACCTTATATCGAAATATATCGCAAATATTCAAGCTATGATAATTCTAATTATTTTAAGTTATTTCATGGACCGAATCGGTCCATGAAAAGTTTGAGATGTCTTCAGGGAGCTATTCAAGCTATAAAATAATTCAAGTTGATTCATAGACTGAATCGGTTCGCAAAATTTTCAAGTTTTCTCAGAAAGCTACACAGCCTATGAAACTTTGAGTTATTTCAAGTTACTTCATAGAACAGAACGGTCCGCAAAAAATCTGAGTTTTTGTAAGCAAGCTATCCAAGATATGAAACTTAGAAAAATTTCAAGTTAATTCACAGACTGAATCGGTTCATAAAAAGTTTAAGATTTTCTTAAACGAGCTATTCAATCTGTGAAACAAATCAAGTTTTTTCATAGACCGAATCGAGTCGTGAAAAGTTCAAGTTTTTCTAGGCAAGCTATTCAAGTTATGAAACCATGAAATATTCTAAGTTAATTCATAGACCGAATCCATTCTTTGAAAAATAGTTTCTCAAAGCATGGAGGCTGCTGCCTAGTTTATTCGTTTCAGACTGAGATGAATCTGTAAACGCTAAAATTTTAGAGAAAAAGTGGGCAGATGATGCCTCCTAGCCTTGAAGTTGAATCAAGTTCATTTTGCTTACAGAGTTTCGCACGTTTGTCGAAAAGAATTCTAGAAAATTCCAGATTTTAGTATATTCGATGGCCCCGTGAATGATTCTTAGACGTTCTGATATACACATGTTTAAACGTTGCGCTCGATAGCCCCTTAAACATTAAGCTTTATGCTGAAAACATGTCATTCATTTAATATATAAGATGTAGATGATTTGTTCCTAGGGCACTGAGGAATTGTATTCATATCGGGGCGAATCTTCCGACTGACCTTTGTCAACAATAAATCAGTAAATAAAGTGTGCCCGTATCGGAGCGAATCTTCCGACTGACCTTTGTCATCAATAAATCAGTAAATAAAGCGTGCCCGTATCGGGGCGAATCTTCCTTTGTCATCAATAAATCGGTAAATCAGTCATCATCAGTAAATCCGAAAAAAAAGCAAAATCGAACACTAAAAGCTTGACTCTTTTCCTTACACACGATGTGACGATGTGAAAACCTAAGCGATACACGCCTGATTGTGACTTTTATGGTTGAAAAATTGATGCTTAACCTCTGTGGAAACCGAATTTTTGTGAGCTGTCAAAACTCTTTCAATTCTGATCGAAGACTAAAGAAGTTCAAAAAGTAAAAAATTTTACCTTATGGCTTTCTGAAGTACTCAGTGATTTGCTTTTTGTCAAGCAAACATTGATATGACCAAATGGTTTTTATCTATTACTTCAATTGAATTTGAAATGATTTTCTGAGCTTAAAATATTTACAACTAACGCAATACAAGTGAAAGTAACGAAACATACAAAATTATACCAACGTGGCAACTTTGAAACGCTGAAAAAGGATAGAAATAAGAATTCTTTCAACTGAAAGGATCTGGGAACACCACAAAGAAAAATTCATTTTCTTTGAAGCTGCATTTTGCTAACCAGCTAAAAAACGGCTAAAAAGGAAGAGCTAGTTGCGCTTTCCAAAATATTCTCTCAAGCTTTAATTGATTGAGTCAGACATCTTTGTGGAACTTTACTATAGATATACGTTGAAAATTCTTGATTTAGGGTTTCAGTGTTCAGTAAACTGAAAACCCTCGTAACTTCTGAACTCGTAAACTGTTCATTGTTTACTGCTTCGTGTGCTCAGTTGGGGGTCCATTTTGCTACACAGGTGTTAGTGAGATTAGGCACATGCTACAATTAGTAGAAACAGTAACGATAAACTGAACAGGTTCAAGACAACTGAATAAACCGGTTATAAGGGCTTACTATTAAGTTTCAGGACCAAAACCTAGTTTCTGTTTTGCAATTATGAGCAAAAAAATGATGTGCTTTTGTAATTTCTACACAGTGGCGAAGCTGCGCTTCGCAAACACAAGCAAGGAAAATGCAAAAGAGAGCTCGAAGTAGGCAAAACAAAGTGAAATAAGGCAAAAAGAAGAGACTAAAATTACAACTTCAGAAAAACTTTTTGCAGGGATTGAAATCCCTGCAAAAAGTTTTTCTGAAGTTGTAATTTTAGTCTCTTCTTTTTGCCTTATTTCACTTTGTTTTGCCTACTTCGAGCTCTCTTTTGCATTTTCCTTGCTTGTGTTTGCGAAGCGCAGCTTCGCCACTGTATAGAAATTACAAAAGCACATCATTTTTTTGCTCATAATTGCAAAACAGAAACTAGGTTTTGGTCCTGAAACTTGATAGTAAGCCCTTATAACCGGTTTATTCAGTTGTCTTGAACCTGTTCAGTTTATCGTTACTGTTTCTACTAATTGAACTGATTTGAGCCCAATGCTTCACATTTTTTATATTGTTTGCGAGGATGCTTCCACAGCAAGAACACCTCAAAAATTAGCTACGAGATACTGGCTAATTCCCGCCTACGAAACAAGATGTCTCAAATTTTGACCCGGCAAAGTCCTTCCCAATAATTTTTATCTAGTTGGCGTCAAAAATGAACCTTTTATCTTCAATATTTGTAGAAAAAAGGGCAAAAACGTGAAACTTCAGAAAAACTTTTTGCAGGGATTGAAATTGAAATTTCTGAAGAATGTGCAAGATCTTCCAAAGCGTCGCAAAATAAACAACAAAAAAAACAACGAATACCGTGCAATTTCATACTACCAGTTTTTTCGAGCAGGACCTAATGCTGTCCAAAAATAAAGCAGAAACATATGCTATTAGATTGCTTATGCTTAAATAAATTTAAATATGATTCAATTGAAATATATTGAAAGTGCCACCAAATGAGCACTTTTATTTGCATTTTAAGTTGGAAAAAAATCTTCGTAATAATACACTACGCTTCGCGTGTGTAAAAATAATCAATATCAGAGTCACTGAAAAACTACTGCTGCTAGAGATGGTCATCAGCGACCCTATGTTTGAAACAGAAGAAAAATTCACGTTTAACTTTTAGAAAATTTTTCCAGCTAATTCGGCTGCTCCTAGGCAGAGTTGCTAGCTTGGATTGACAATTTAATTTATTGTTAAAACATCGATGCTAAATTCGTGAAAAACAATTAAGAATTGAAACACCAAAGCCTTTGGAGACCTCTACAATCGAAACATGACCCATAGATTCACAATCACTAGCCATAAATCACTAAAACATCTTACTGTACCATAAATTCTAGCTGAATTGAATACTCTTTAACCAAACGAATTTCGCCTATATGTAGTCGTAATGTATTGTAATCTCGTTTGTCTTATCACCTGAGCATTAATAAAAAATCAGAAGCGCAAAGTTGAAAACAAATGCGTTTTTTTGGCTGATCGTAACACTCTGTGCTTTAATCACCGGACATAGAAGTTGCTCTTTTTTGATTTCAACGAATAAGTTAACGAATTTTTTGCTTCACCTTTTTGTCTTTTTCTCTGCAACTGTTTAATATGTACGGTTGTTTTTTGACACAAGCTAGATACATTTAATTGGAAGGATTTAACCGGGTCAATTTTGAGAAATCTTGTTTCGAAGGCGTAAATTAGCTAGTATATCATAACTAGTTTTAGAGTTGTTCATGCTGTGGATACATTTTCGCAAACAATTTGAGGATTGAAAATAGGGCTCAAATTACTTCTTTGGGAAGTTGATGAGCTTGGCTTACAACTTATTCCACGTTAAAACGACAGATAACAGAATTGAAAAAGCTATCTGAACCGGCGTCAAAAAACACCTGAAATTTATGAATAATTTCGCGCTGAGGATTAACATGTGTCAACAGAAAAAAAACAATTCCAGAAAAAAATTCGGAAAAACTCCTGTTGCAATCCATGCACAAAATTCTCATTAGCAGTTGTGTTGCGAGCACATTTGTCCCAATTTCTAGTATAAGCTCCCAAAAACTGTTAGTGTATATATCGTCAAAACAGATTTGACCTTTTTGCGACGCCAGGCCAATAACTTTTCCAATTCTGTTATTTGTTATTTTTGGGCGGCATAAGGTGTAAGTCAAGCTTATCAGCTTCCCAAAGAACTGATTTGAGCCCAATGCTTCACATTTTTTATATTGTTTGCGAGGATGCTTCCACAGCAAGAACACCTCAAAAATTAGCTACGAGATACTGGCTAATTCCCGCCTACGAAACAAGATGTCTCAAATTTTGACCCGGCAAAGTCCTTCCCAATAATTTTTATCTAGTTGGCGTCAAAAATGAACCCTTTATCTTCAAAATTTGTAGAAAAAAGGGCAAAAACGTGAAACTTCAGAAAAACTTTTTGCAGGGATTGAAATTGAAATTTCTGAAGAATGTGCAAGATCTTCCAAAGCGTCGCAAAATAAACAACAAAAAAAACAACGAATACCGTGCAATTTCATACTACCAGTTTTTTCGAGCAGGACCTAATGCTGTCCAAAAATAAAGCAGAAACATATGCTATTAGATTGCTTATGCTTAAATAAATTTAAATATGATTCAATTGAAATATATTGAAAGTGCCACCAAATGAGCACTTTTATTTGCATTTTAAGTTGGAAAAAAATCTTCGTAATAATACACTTCGCTTCGCGTGTGTAAAAATAATCAATATCAGAGTCACTGAAAAACTACTGCTGCTAGAGGTGGTCATCAGCGACCCAATGTTGACCCGGCAAAGTCCTTCCCAATAATTTTTATCTAGTTGGCGTCAAAAATGAACCCTTTATCTTCAGTATTTGTAGAAAAAAGGGCAAAAACGTGAAAAAAATCTTTCATTTGCGTTGAAATCAAAACGTTGCAACTTCAATGCCCCGTAACTCTACTTGCACTGCAACAAGTGGTTCTTTTCTATAAAAATGAGTTGCATTACCTGTATCGATGAGGTCCTCCACAATCAAGACTGTCTTGCCCTCCAGGGACTCGAGCACATCTCCCCCGATGATGTTCACTTTGCCGGTGCTCTTATCATTCATGTAGCTCTTCACTCGGATAAAGTCCACACTCACCGAGGCTATTAGTCCTATGCTGAACACACAAAAAACATGGCAGATTACTGAGAGAAAAAAAAACCAGCATATTCAAACTTGGCTAATAAGTTAAGCAGATCAGAGAGTTCACCTGAGCAGATAAACTTCACGTTTAAGTGGGGAGAAGGGCTTAGTTATTCGAAGCACTGACTGTACCTCCTGATGAGTCTGGTGATGATATCCATCAAATCGGAGAAGAACTTATAGCCCCCTTTGAGAATACACAACACATGCAGACGGGGGTGGTTGAGTGCCGAGTGGTGTTTGGTGGCGGCCACCTGCTCCCAAGTCAGTCGGGGGGACATTTGGGGACTGGCGTGGAGGTCAAACACTTCTGTCACAATGTCCTGAGCCAGACGCTCTATCCGGTCCACAATCAAACCATGTGGCAGCATAACCTGCAATTGCAACCACAATACAATAAATGTCTTTTTTCGTCCCTAGAAAACTTAATGAACAATTTTATGGTGTAACAAGTGGTTTACCAACTTCGTATATGAGGATCAAATGTGTTTGGATGTAACTACTCTGCAAAAAAGATTTCATAACTGAGCAAAATGTCATTTATTATAAATGCTCAGAGGTGAGGGAAAAGAAAAAACCATACAAGCATATAATTTACTTTAAGAAAATACTTTGAACATGTTCAATCAACAATTCTCCACTTGACTCATCTACCAACGAAACAATTGGATCATCCAAAATTGCTTCTTTAGAGATGGTAAACAATAAAATCATTCGTTCTTAAAACAAGAACGAAATACGTCTGCTCAAATCAGTACCACGAAAAACTGTTGTCGATTTCTTGATCTACGAATAATTAATATGAAAGACATTTAACCTGTTTGTCAATAACGTTTTTTAAAGAACATCGACCGGAAGTTTCAACCACCTTCTATTTCGTACGCGTCTAGTTATCAGATGGAAATAAGCACTCAAAGTTTCCCGGGTATCGTAGAAAACATCGGCTCGTGGTTAGGATCATAGCAAAAAAAAATAGAGAAAAAATAAAATATTAAAAATAAAAACAATAATAAATAGGGATCGTCACCTTTTCGACAAAACCCTGATACTGCTTTGGGAAGCTGAACTGGTTTATTTCCCAAGAGGCGGAATCCTGCACATCAATGAAGCTCGATGTCTGTTTAGACACTCCATTGCTACTCAATTCCACGGTTATGCTTGAAGCGGCCATATCCGACCTGAAAGTTATCATAAATTATAAGTAAAAAGAATGAGCGAACTGGATGTGATTTATATAAGTTTTTAAAAGGTTTCATTGTAAAACCCAGAACTAGTTTAGTTTAGTCAGCCAAACTGGATAATAGTTATTCTGGATGCTATTTTGAGCAACTAAGCTTTCGTTAGCAAGACAACCTTCATGCTGCTGCTTATCTCTACAGAACGCCTATGCAAACACAAAAATTACAAACCGGCTACAAAATATGATAACAGTATAAAACTTTTCAGAATTTTACTGATTTTACTACTCTTGAATTATCAATGGACAGTTTTTTTCAGTAAAACCGTTTTATTTTTGAGAACTCATGTTGGTATTTTACAAACAGATAAATTTCAACTAGCGTGTTACGCAACTCCAGTGCTTCGAATTTTTCCGACAACTCATGAAAAACCACATATATCGGAAATAATATCTGCAACTTTTTAGTGTACTCTGACTGCACCCAATTACAGGGTTGGCAATTTCCAATTTTATATAAAAAATTTCAAGTCCAATTTTGAAAAACCATCAAAAGCGTCATCCCGAAAACTTAATGAGCCTCTGGAGAAATTTGGAGGCCAGACTTGCAACCACTGAGATTCCATGAGAGCACCCTTCTAAAGGGTTGGGCACTTCAAATTTCGCTAGTTTTTTTAAACCTAAGTTTCCCGAAAGAAATTGAAAAAATCATACAAAAGTCATATTTCGAAGCTAAAAGAATTTGCGCATTCATATTTAGAGGCAAAATTCGCGACGCCTGGGTGTACGCTGATAATGAGGTTGTCTCTTCATAAAATTACTAGTTTCAAATTTTGTAGGTAAGTTCTTTGAGAATTTTGAACTAAAAGCTTTTGAGCAGTGGCATTTGGCAGGATGTCATACGCCTGAGAGAATCCTGGCAGCACTCAACTACAGGGTAGGGATTTTAAAATTTTGAAGAAAAAATTATGTTTTCTTAAAATTTTCTGAAAAAAAACAAAACAAATGTCATATCTCAAAAACTACAAGATAAAGATTTGCAACACCTAAGAGTACTCTGACAGCTCCCATTTACAGATTTGGTAATTACATAATTTGAAGAAAAAAATAAATATGTTTCCAGAAAATTTTTTGAAAAAATCACGAAAAACGTCAAATCTCAAAAACTACAAGGATTTGAACAGCCATATTTGAAGGCAAGCCCTGAGAGCACCCTGACAGCACCTAATCACAGGGTTGAGAATTTCAAATTTTGAAAAATTATGTTTTCTAAAAATTTTTGAAAAAGTCACAAAAAACAGCATATCTCGAAAACTACAAGGAATTGAAAAGTAATATTTGAAGGCAACATTGGCAACCTCTGAGAGCATCCTGACAGCACTCAACTACAGGGTTGGGAATTAAAAATTTAAAAATAATAATAATTTATATTTTCTTAAAACTTTTTGAAAAAGTCATAAAAAACGTCAAATCTCGATAACTACAAGAATTTGAACAGTCATTTTTGAAAACAATAGTGGCAACCTCTGAGAGCATCCGGACAGCACCCAACTAAAGGTTTGGGAATTTTAAATTTTGAAGAAAAAATAACTTTAATGAAAACTTTTGAAAAAATAACAAAAAAAACGTCATATTTCCAAAACTACAGGGATTTGAGCAGTCATATTTGGAGGCAAAATTCGCGACGCCTGGGTGTACGCTGATAATAGGGTTCTGTCTTCATAAAATTACTGGTTTAAAGTGAGTTTTTTATAGGTAAGTTTTTTGAGAATTTTGAAAAAAACTTCCACATCTCGGAAGCTAAAAGCTTTCGAGCAGTCGCAAATTAGCAGTGGCATTTGGCAAGATTTGATACGCCTGAGAGTACCCTGGCAGCACTCAACTACAGGGTAGGGATTTTAAAATTTTGAAGAAAAAAAACTTATGTTTTCTTAAAATTTTCTGAAAAAAAAACAGAAAATGTCATATCTCACAAACTTTAAGGTAAAAATTTGCAACACCTTAGAACACTCTGACAGCTCCGATTTACAGGTTTGGTAATTACAAAGATTGAAGAAAAAAACTAATATATGTTTCCTGAAAATTTTTTTGAAAAAAATCACAAAAAACGTCATACCACAAAAACTACAAGGATTTGAACAGTCATATTTGAAGGCAAGAGTTGCAAGCCATGAGAGCACCCTGACAGCATTTAACAACAGGGTTGAGAATTTGAAATTCTGAAAAATTATGTTTTCTAAAGACTTTTGAAAAAATCACAAAACTTCAGGTCTCAAAAACAACAAGGATTTGAACAGTCATGTTTGAAGGCGAAATTGGCAAGCTCTGAAAGCATCCTGACAGCACTCAACTAAGGGTTGGGAATTGATAATATTAAAAATAGTCATAATAATTTATATTTTCCAAGAACTTTTTGAAAAAGTCACAAAAAACGTCAGATCTCGATAATTACAAGGATTTGAACAGTCATTTTTGAATAAAATAGTGGCAACCTCTGAGAGCATCTTGACAGCACCCAACTAAAGGGTTGAGAATTTCAAATTTTGAAGAAAAAATTAACTTTAATGAAAACGTTTGAAAAAATATCAAAAAAACGTCATATCTCCAAAACTACAGGGATTTGGGAAGTCATATTTGGAGGCAAAATTCGCTACGCCTGGGTGTACGCTGATAATAAGGTTCTGTCTTCATAAAATTACTGGTTTAAAATTTTGTGAGTTTTTGGTAGGTAAGTTTTTTGAGAATTTCAAATTCTGAAAAAATATGTTTTCTAAAGACTTGAAAAAATCACAAAAAACGTCATGTCTCGAAAACTACAAGGATTTGAACAGTCATATTTGAAGGCAAATATGGCAACCTCTGAGAGCACCCTGACAGCACCCAACTACATAAATAAGTTTGAATAAGTTGAAGAAAAAAGAAAAATTTTCTGAAAATTTTTGAAAAAATACAAAAAAAACGTCATATCTCAAAAACTACAAGGATTCGAGCAGTCATAAGTGGAGGCGAGGCTCTCAATAATTGAGACAACTCTGAGGGCACCCAATTACAGGGCTGGGAATTTCGAGTTTCTTGAAATAATTAAGTTATTTGAGTTTTCGGAAAATTTTTGAAAACAATCACAAAAATCGTCGTATCTTGTAAACTAAAAGATTTTGAACAGTCAAATTTAAAGGCAAGATTTGCAACCCTTGAGAGCACCCTGGCAGCACTAAACCACAGGGTTGAAAATTTCAAATTTTGAAAAATTATGTTTTCTAGAATTTTTTGAAAAAGTCACAAAAAACAGCATATCTCGAAAACTACAAGGATTTGAAAAGTAGTATTTAAAGGTCAAGATTGGCAACCTCTGAGAGCATCCTGACAGCACCCAACTACAGGGTTGGGAATTCCAAATTTTCAAGAAAAAATTAACTTTTATGAAAACTTTGAAAAAATAACAAAAAACGTCATATCTCCCAAAACTACAGGAATTTGAGCAGTCATATTTGGAGGCGAGATTCGCAATACTTAGAGACCTCTGACAGCGCCCAACTACAGGGCTGGGAATTTCAACTTTTGTAAATTGTTAAGTAAGTTTTCTTGAAAATTTTTTTGAAAACACTTGGGAAATCCGTACAGCATTCCACTAACGGGCTGCTGATTTTAAACTCAGTGAAATATCCACTGAAATCAAATTTGAAAATCGAAAAAAATTTCTTAACCATTGCAATATACAATATAGCTCAAACGGGCAAAAATTCTTTTGTTAAACATGCAAAACGAAGACGTTGAAAAAGCTTAAACATGGCGAGATAGTGAAGCTCGCTTTAAATATACAACAGATAATAGTTTTGATGAAAAAAACTACAAAAGAAAAAGAGAAAATGGCACGATTTCTTACGAACGATTAACCACCACATGTCAACCAGTAGATTTTGGAAAGTGGTCTGCTCCCTAAACGGAACAAAATCAGTAGCAGGATCATTTCCTTTCTCTTTTAATGCAACAAAAATTTCGAAAGCAAGGGAAATAGCAAACGCGTTTAAAGTGCAATTTTACTAAAGCGAAAGTTCACAAATCGGATAAAGTGAATTACCAGCACCTATACAAATTTTACAAACACAGGCGAAGCCAAACTTCTTTTTACTTGCAATACAACACATTCATAGAATGACAAACCAACCGACAGCAATGGAGAGTAAAGCCGAATATTTTTTTTTGAAAAAAAAAATCGAAAAAACTGATTACCAAAAACTTTCCTATAATTAGCTTCATTTTGTCTGGAATAAAAATTCCTTCAAAGAAAATAGGGCAAAGAGTAAAACAATTGAATGCAAAAAAGCATCGAAAAAAAATTTAAAGACGACAATTCTTGAGCAGACACACGTGGCTCCGCAAAATAAAGAACTTTCAAGTGCTCTATCAAAATGTTTCGATAGAAACCTTTTTGCCCTTCAAACGACTCAAACAGAGGCCTCTAAGCCGAAATATTTTAAGCCAAAAAAAATCAAAAAACAGAGTTATAAAAAACAACCAAATTGAGAAGTGCGTAATGGAGCGAAAAAACTGTGTTTCCCTTGAAACTATCCATAATTAGGTTCACCAAGCCAATAAAAAAAGGCCGAAGTAATTTGGGCCGAATAAAGGTTCAAGCGAAAAAAAAAATTGAAAAACGAAGTGAAGCTAAGTAACATTACGAAATCCAGGAGTAAATCAAACACTAAAACTAACATCTGAAAAAATGCGTGCAATAAAAAAAATGATTCCACAATGTGGTATCTAAACTGAAAAAAGATAAGCAGGCAAATAATTGGCCGACAATTGTTATTTGAAACAGAACATTTCTCGCTTGAAAAAACAGGTCCTGGTCAGATTCAAACTCGGGACTTTTTCCGGCCCACGCATATTCATAACCTTCAGGCTGAGTGGGCCGAGAAGGCTAAGAATTTGAATTAATTATGAAACAACGTACCATAAGATATGAGTCCCGTGAACAAAGTTATTTACGTGAAAAAAGCCT